TGTAATTCTAAAGGTATGAATTTTTTAATACTAGTTTGTAGATTATATTGAACTGCAACATATACTGATTATTTAATTTTTAAAGGGTCCCTGTCCGAACTGCGGAACTGAAAATACCTCCTTCTTTGGGACTATACTGTCAATTTCAAGTGGTGGTTCCAACAACAAAGTCAAATGCTCTGAGTAAGTACCAAAACTACACCTGAGTAACTAACCATTAGTTTCATATGAATTATATCTTATCCTTAAAGGCTTAAACTAATTTAATTAATGGTATAACAATAATTTAACGATCGAAGTTAAAATGTGAATCAGATGTGCAACTGAATTGGTGTATGATTCAACTACAAGATTGATTACATTGCCAGAAGGAAGTAAATAAGTAAAAGCCTAAGTGGAGGTATATTCCTAGCTTACTTTAGTATCACTGTCAAATCTATTGAAGCATAGTATATTTTGCCTATGTTGCAATATATACTATTTGATCTTTGTTTTCTATCTAGTTATAAATCTACAGTTGAATGAAGTTTATAAAAATCTGTCATTTTGAAAACGGTAGACTTATAGTTTGAACATAGGTGCATATAGCAATCCTCATGTTATGTTATCTTGTGCATGCATACAGGTATCCTGGAACTATATTCATTGTTCAAGCAATGGGAGCTCATCAATAGGTGTTACTAAGTGACAAATTTATCCAAGAGAAACATGCCTTATTATGTGTCATGTTATCACTGTCATACATAATGTGTGTGATCTCAATAGTTTGAATGTGTTACTACTTGTAAGTAATATGGACTCTGTACAGCATACACTGCATTGTTACTGGAAGAGTTATGAGGGTGCTTAACACCACCAATGAGTCTAACCTAAATAATGTGTTAGGAGTTTTGTTACACGCTTTTGGAGAATTTTCCTTCCTCTCTGCCACGGTACATTTGCAGGAACGTCAATAACAAATAAGGAAAATTGAGTATATTCAAATTAGAGAAAAGATATTTTGACACAACAAACTTACACCTACACCCAGTATTACATTCACAAATACATGAACAGTGTTTTTAATATTTTGATATATTCTTTTATTTTTCTTTTAAATTACTTTAGTTAATAAAATATTAAAACTTGGTTAATACAGTTTTAAATTTGATTAATATATATTCTGACATAAAAAATTTAATATGTATACCGTTCTGATTTTAATTAATAGTTTGTATAAAATTGGTTAATAAAATTTATAACTTGGTTAATGAGTTCTCAAACATAAAAAAAATATTAAATATTAAAATAAAATTGACTAATAGAGTATAAAAATTAGTTAATACATTTATAATTTAGTGTCAGAACATGGTTAATACTATATATTTTATTGGTTAATGAAGTACTGAAATTGATTAATAAAATATAAATAAAAAATAATTGTTAATGACGTATATTTTTTTGATTAATACAATTGTGAAATTGGTTAATTACACAATCATATATTTGTGTTATAAAATAAATTTTAAAAATATATATTTTTAAAAAATAATAATATTTTAATAGAAATACACTCACCGTTTAATGGTGTAGGTATTTGATGTCAAAATAGGGTGTTAAATTAGCAATGCTCTTCAAATTATTAAGTTAATCTATTATAATATATTATTAAATTAGCTTAATAATTTGAAAAAAAAATGATTACTAAATTTATATTATAATTTTTTTTATGAATTATAATAGAGACAATATTATAAATTAATCACAGATAAATATATGTTTCATTTGAAAAGAAAATACATACGTGTAAATTGAGAGTGATATACGTAATTTAGGTTTGCAAACTTACATATCTATAAAGTGATTTTTTTGTTTTGTTTTGATTCTCATATTTTATTTTGCACTTATCTTTTATTTAGATATTTTACTATAATTTGTTAAATATATGTATTTATTTTTAGTGTTAAATAAAATTAAAAGTTTATTTATAATTATTATCAAATAAAATTTTCAATAACTTTTTAAAATTTTATGTGTATTTTGTCAAACTTTATAAGATTGTTGCATATTATATATTTTTTTAAAATCAAATTAAAGTGATTTATATTTAAAAATTGTGTAAGAATTACTTTAAGATTAAAAATATTTATTTCAAGTGTTATTTTTATTGTTATAATTTCAGAAAAATAAAAAATATTTTATTGTGTTTGGATTTGATATCTTTTATTTTTAAAATTTGAGAGAAATATTTTTATTCTTAATATAAAAAAATATACATGGTTGACTTGTTAGACCATTTTGTTGAAATTAAGATAAACATATTTTATTATATTTGAATTCTCTTATCTCTTTTGTGTAGTATTTTGTTATTTGTCATTAATTTATTATTTAATATTATATTAAAAATATAGTAGTAAAGCATATAGATATCGTAAAAAATTGTTGCGTACTATATTATATTTTAAATAGGTTTAAAGTGATATATACTTGAAAATTATGTAAGAACTACACTAAGATTAAAAATATTTATTTCAAGAGTTATTTTTATTACTATAATTTCAGGATAACAAAAAATATTTTATTGTATTTGAATTTTCACATCTCTTTAATATTTAAAATATGAGAAAATATTTTTAATTTAAAGAAATATACATAATTAGATTAATGATTGGTTTGTTAGATTAATTTATTCAAAATGATATATTATTTCATCTTTGTAAAAGATTCGAATCGACTTCAAATTTGTAAAAATATAAAATTAAAATAAATTTTGAAATGTGACACATAAAATTATAAGATTATGTGATAAATTTAAAATTATATTTAATAACGTGTTATATTTATAATTGATGATATGTTAGAATTATAATTAATAATATATTATTATAATATTTATTGCAATATATAGAAAACAGACATCACAGATACTACGACACACATCACTTTTTCACGTGTCACTTCATTCCAGTATTGCAACATTATAAATATTCTGAGGTGACACACTTAAAATGAAACTTTCCTATCCTCATACAGAGTTGAGCCAATCCATTTAGACTACGATTTTAAGCCTCAAAAGTTTGAAATTAAAAAAAATTTAAATTTTTTATTTAATTATAATAATTTATAATTTTATATTATACATTAAACACATAAAAAATTTAATCTCTTTTTTCTTTTGATTTTAAGTTCAACTCTTAACAACCACAAAATTACTATTTTAAAAACTTTATTTTTTTAAAAAAATCAAACCTTCAAATGAGTGTGTTTGAAAAAGCCATCCGAATGTACCATATAAAGAAGTTGAAATTCAGAGCACTTTCAAAGACCAGACTTGAATAAAACATAAGATAATTCCTTTTGTTTAAGATTTTACATTTATTCTTTTGAATAAGTCACGTGTTTATGTGCTTTTCAATTTCTGGATATATTAATATAAAATAAGATTTGAAATAGATAACAAAATTATAAAGGGACTGAACAAAAATTATGCTTAGTTGTTTAGATTAAGGGACTGAACAAATTCTAAACAAATTTGAGATGGAATTAAGTCTTTGACATTCAATTAAATTACACTGAAATGAAAATAAAAAATGCATTAATGGCAACAAATATAAAGCATTATTACAAATAATTTCTTTAGAACTGTGACAGATATGTTATGAAAAGTGTATTCAGACGGATAAAAAATTAGAATAATATATGCAATTATATTTATATTTAAAAAAAATAAACACATTATTAATTGTGTGATATGGACAATATTGTATGGTGTCCATCCGAAAGATAATTTTCGGTAAACTTTTATAAGATTTGAGAGAAATACATATAATGTAATCGGAAATTCTCTAAACTTTTCACGAACTAACAATTTGATAAGGGTGTGTGTGGACATAGTTAGTCTGCTGTTAGAGGAGCAGAAATCCTCCTAAGAATGAGAGAAAGGGAAAGATTTGTATTAATTTTTGCATACTAAAGATGGAGCTGCTAGCTCACTTAAATACAAAAAGCAAATAACGTTAAGATTTCCTAGATCCTTAACATACGGAAAATCTAACAAACTTATAATGACTCAACATTCTTCTAGATCTTTTTTTCACTAACGGATAAAATAGTCACATAATCCTCCAACCTTTTCGGGGCCTTGATTGTTCTCTTTGCTCTTGGGCTTGGTACTTGATCCATCTCCTCTTCAATTATTGAGTTCTGGTTATTCCTGGGCTCAGTTGTATCAATACTCCCCCAACAAAATCAATCTTGTCCTCAAGGTTGTATTCACGACACAGATTCGCCCAATGTTCCCATGACGTATCATTTAGTGACAGTCCCCGCCATTGAACTAATGCAAAACGAGTGGGAATGCCATCAACTAACTGTGTCTGAAATTCTAACACAGCCAAGGGTGTTACCACATGATGGTTATCCATGGAATCTTGGAGAAGCTGGTCGAACACGATATGAGGTGATCCCACATGCGGTTTCAACAGGGAAGAGTGAAAAACATTGTGAATTCTCGCATGCAAATCCAACTTATATGCTACAGGTCCTACTTGAGATGTAACTTGATAAAGTTCATAGTACCTGAAAGCTTATGAAATTTGGACTTTGAGACGGATACTTGCCTGTAAGGCTGTAATTTCACATACACCCATGAACCTACTGGAAAAGTGACCTTGTGGCAGTGTTTGTCTGCATTGTTCTTCATGTGCAGTTGAGCTTTAGTCAAGTTCTTGCGCAATAGTTTCAGAATTTCCTCACGAGAATTCAAAACAGAGTCACAAACGTCAATCGATAAAGACGAGATAGAAGAGGTGTTTTGCCAAACATCATCTAAAAATGAGAGACACCAGAACCAGTATGCACAAAAGTATCATATTGATATTCCACCAAAGACAGTAAAGGAACCCACTATGATGGTTTAGCATGGACAAATGCTCTCGAGTATTATTCCACTGTGTGATTCATAACCTCAGTTTGGCCATCCGTATGAGGGTGGTAAGAGGAGCTCATCCGTGTTGGAAATCCACCAAATATCTATGATAAATTTCTCCTCAATGACAATGAATTATGAGAACGAAAAGAAAAAAGAAGACAATTATTTTCTGCAGAGTTTCTCTCTGCCCACAAACTGTGGAAAACTTTATTATTCACTTGCAACTGCAAATTCTGTGAATACAACTTAATTGACCTGCTTAATAAAAATAGGGGTTACTCCCTCTATTTATAATTGAGCTTACACCCTAATCCCAAAGCCCAAAATATCTATTTTGTTACTAAATCAAATCTAATCTATTCTAGACTTAAATCAAATCTATTTAAATCTAAAACAAATCTAATCTTTTTAACACATAGTTTCGACACACTGAATTACAATTTAACACAACACCTAATTCATTGTGTCTAAACTATCTATGTTCATCATGGCTCTTAGTCTTCTGAATACTTCGACTTGCACTCCCTTCGTCATGATGTCTGCAATCTGATTCTCAGTTTGCAGTGTTCCAAATTCATCTTCCTATCTGCTACCTGCTCTCGAAGATAATGGAACCTCATTTCGATGTACTTACTTCGACCATGTGCTATTGGATTCTTTGCTAGATCGATAGCTGACATGTTGTCGATCTTCATGGTAATTGCTCCATGTCTTTCCCTGTTATCTCTTCGACCAAGTTCACCATCCAAGTTGCTTGACATGCAC